TTTTTTTTTTTTTTTTTTTTTTTTTTTTGGTACTGGGGATCGAACTCGGGTCCTTGTGCTTGCAAGGCAGGCCACCGAACCACTGAGCTAAATCCCCGGCCCTCAAATATTTCTTTAAATTCACTTACAGTAGCCTCAAATTAAAAAACAACCAAAATGCCCTTCAATAAGTACTGAATGGTTTAAACAAACAAGTACATCCATCCATTTAATGTAGCAGTAAAAGGCAAACTAGCAACATCTGCAACAACTTGGAAGGATTTCAAGGTATTATCACATTAAATGGAAAAGGACAACCTCAAAAGATCACATATAATGATTCCAATTATATAATATTTTAAAAATTGATGAAATTATGGAAGTAGAGATTTAGTGGTTGACAAGGGTTAGGAATGCTGTAGATGACTGAGGTGAGGGAAAAAGGGTAGCAGCAGGGAAACATTTATGGTGATGGACACTTGGGTATTTCCTTCCTTCTTTACTGTTTGTTATGGCTTATATCTAGATGTTCCCCTCTAATGGCTTGTATCTAGATGTGCCCTGAAAAGCTTCATGCAGTCATAGGTGGGGCTTTTTAGAGGTAATTAGATCTAGATTATGTGATGCAGGGATTAGGAGAGCCCCACCCTGGGTGTGGCACTAATAAATAAGATTACAGCCAGGATAGAATATAAGGGCAATTTCTGTTACTGCTGCTGCTGCTTGCTGTTTTTCTGCCTGCCCTGCCATGCCATGGACTATTTCTCTGCTCTGCCATGCTGCTCTATCTTGGAGTCAGGTGATTATGGACTGAAATTTTTATAGACTGAGAGCTGAAATATACCTTTACTTCTTTAATTTTGGGTGTTCAGTATTTTGTCTCAGCAGTGAGAAAAGTAAGACCAAAACCTCAGGCACTCATAAGTGGAGATTTTGGGAGTGCCTGGATTGTGGATGTGTGATACTGAATTAGCCCACTGATGGGTTTATAGCTGGTGTGACATTCAAAGGTGAAGACTAGTGAGAAGAGGTGAGTCACTGTGTGTGTGGCCTGGAAGAGTATATCCTTCTCCCTTGATGGCTTGACTGCCATGTTCCTCTGCCATGTCACCCTGTCCTGGAGCTACCTGACTACAGACTGAAACCTCCACAAACTGTGAGCTAAAATAAACTTTTTCTTCTTTAAACTGTAGGAATCAAGTAATCAAGTATTGTCTCAGCAATGAGAAAAATAAGTATTCCTTTTTTTTTTTTTTTTTTTTTTTTTTTGTCTTTTTTTTTGAAAAAAATTTTTTTAAAAGTAGGAACCAAGTTTTCTGATCGAGGTGGTCTCCCTCTTTGACCTTTGCTCAGATTATAAAGACCAAGTTTTCTGGGCAACGGGCTATAACAACCTCCTCCCTGTTTTTCTGTTCCTCTTCTTCTGATCCAAGAGTGAACTTACGCTAACCCTATTCCCTCCCCAATAGTTGCCTAGTAATGAATAAGTTAGAGATATTATAGGCTTTGCTGAGTATAGTTTGCCTAATTGTGTAATAACATAAAGTGTTCCTTAAAAATAGAAATAGAGTGCCCCCTGCTGAGCTCCTCATGAGTATGAGATAATTCCCCTCATGAGAATGAAGTATTTCCCCTAAGTGTCCCAATAATAACCCTTAGTAATGGAAAGTTAAAAATAGTATCAATCCTCAGCCCTATATAAGCCTGTCTTGAAAATGGGTCGGAGCCTTCAGTTGGAAGCTGCTGTGACAGTGCCACTGGAGGTCCAGGCTCGAGTTTGCCGGGCTCAAGCCTGCAATAAACTCCTCGTGTGTTTGCATCAGAAGAGACTCCTTGGTGGTCTTGGGGATTTCACGACTTGGGTACAACACTAAGAATTGAGCCGAAGGCCTTGGACATGCTCTGCCATGTAACTATATCCCTTGAACTTCTAAACTTTTGATTCAGGGTCTTGCTAAGTGGCCCAGGATGACCTTGAACTTGTGACCCTCCTGTTTTAGCCTTTCAAATAGCTGGGATTACACACCTGAGCCACTGCATCGGCCAGATTGATGTGTATTTTGAATGTGGTGGTGCTCACAGAAGTATGCACACATATTGCACCACTGTCAATCTCCTCTTTCTAATACTGTACTACAGTTATACAAGATGCAACCATTGAGAGAAAGTGGTTGAAGGGTACCTGTATTATCTTTGCACTTTCCATGATTATACAATTATTTAAAAATTTAAAACATCTTTTAAAAATAGAAATCACTGGCTATCTTTTTATCATTATTAATTTTGTTATTATTACTGAAAATAATTTTGCTATATAGATGATTAGGATCACTGAAAATGATCCACTCCAGGTATCAAATATTTTAGGAATCTCACAGTATACACTTAAAGGAAATAAACAAAAGACAAGAATATTCATAACAGCTTTCTTCCTAAGAGTCCAAACTGGAAATTAACAAAATGCCTATCATCTGGAAAACAGACAAATATATTGTGTTATAGTTACACACAGATTATAAAAACAAACAGAAGAAAAAATTATTTTGCTTTATGTATTTATTACATTACTTACAGTTTCAGTAATGGGACCTAATATAGTATCCTTACACAAAAATATGTTTTCTGCTCTGTATCAAAAAGTTGGCTGTGTTGCATTAAAAATACTGAAAATAGGGCCAGGGATTTTTCTCAGTGGTTCCACTGCCTGCCTTGCAAGTGCAAGGACCTGAGTTCAATCCCCGGTACCAAAAAAAAAACAACTGAAAATAATTTGCTTTCAGTTGGAGTTTGTTTCTTTAAATATACTAACAACTCATCTAACTAGCAAATATTCATAGACGTGAAATCTGTAATATGTTGCTAAATTCATTAATTTTTAAAAGCACAAATCCCTTATGAGCATTCCTTTTTTCTTAATATACTGAGAAACAACTGTAAGGAATAGGAAGTATAAATAGGCCATTGAGAATCATTTTGCTAGTGTCCCCACTACTATCTTAGCATCTTCTACCTTAGCAGACAGTAGCGAAGATGTCCAAGACCAACTGAGAATAGGGTGTGAGGATATACTTTATATAGGCTGGGAAATATAAATCTGACCCTATTTTGGCCCTACAAGCTTGAAGACCTAGGCAAACTTCTATCTGTGAAACTCCATTTCCTATCTTCAGGACAGGGGAAGTGGCAAGTCCCTCTGGCCCTATATATTCCTACTCTGGTTTTCTTCATGGCCCTCTTTTAGTTTCTCCCCTCACAACCTGTACCCACTTCTCCCTGCAGCAGTTTACTTCTCCTGCAGGCCTCTTGTAGGACAGATTAGGGCAATCTATATTGATAATAGCAAGTTTATGGCATTGCTATCAACAACAGAGAGATTTCAAAAGCTTTTCTTTGATCCCTCTGCATGTCTGGTCATCTTTGGATTTCTAACCTACTTAAATTTTTAATACTGTGAATAATGAACACTTGTATTCCTTCTACATTTTTAACTCAGGACTTATATTACTCCTGGACCATCTGTGTATGAATCCAGCTTGCCCCACACACTTGCCCACTCATAATTGTTAAGCAGATGACCTAAGTGATATTAATTTTTCCTAAACCAATCTATTTTTCTGTTGCAGAGTCCAGCACGAAGAAGGGGCTCAAAACTTTTACTGAATGAATGCTAATGACTATGCTATAAACAATTCTGGGTAATATTTGAATTTTTAAAATTCTTTCTGAAGATAAAATCTTAATCAGTTGTTCTAAAATTAAAAGGCACATGGAGTGGATGATTTGGGACATTCCATGGGTCGTATCACATAATCATCATTGTATTGAAAAGAGTAAAATGAACATATTAAACAAACAAACCTCAGAAATAAGACACCAATTCTATCTCCCTCTTAGAAGTACAAGACACACTAAAAATACGGTTGAGGAATATAATTAAATAATAAATTAGAAGTGTGTTTTTGCTTTAAGAGCTGTAGCTCTAAGAAGGCACTGAGAATTTTCAGAATATCTTTGATGTAAGAATAAGGCATCTCCATGGGTGTGGTGGCGCACACCTGTAATCCCAGCACTTGGTAGGCTGAGGCAGGAGGATCGCTGTGAGTTCAAGACCAGCCTGCAGCAAGCTTTTATGATGTAATGCCATAGGTCATCTAAGGTGGTCTTCCCTACAGACCTTGTGACTGTAAGTGAACAGCATGGGCCTGAAATTAGGGTATAGATTCAGGGTATACTAAAATGGAAGAGGAAAATGAAAAGTCAGAGTAGGCAACCACAGGATCAATGAGAACATTGAAGGTCCAGAATCTGAAAACAGGATCATCATAGGCAAGGGTCAGGAAGTGAATCAGAAATCCAAGGGATCAGATCATGAGAAACAGAATATAGGCATTCAATAAAGAATAGGGAGCCTAATACACATTCGGCACAGATAAAGACTACACTAGTAGGAAGCAAGCCCAATTTTATCAAAGACTTCCTAGGACAGGGCTTTTAAAAAAACTTTCTGGCAACAGCGAAAATGAGGTTAAGAGCCAAAATCAGTGACAAAATCTCACCTGGTACTTAATTTTAATTGGGAATCAAGATCAGAACATGCTAACGGAGTTTTCAGACAAACTCAGTACCCGTGTTTTCAGTTATATATAATATAAATAGAAGAGCTTAAATATAATTACTGTGCACACCCACCTGTAATTTTACCGTAAATCAGCATTTCTAAATCTTTTTTAATATTCCAAATTCAGAATCTATGTGTTTTTCACTATTCCATTACCTGAATTGTTGGTCTAACTTTTCAGCCACAAAATCTTGTCTTTCTTTTTCTTTCTTCTCTTTCAATAATCTGGTTTTCTCTCTCATTCTATCTTTTTTCTCTTCATTGGTTTCTTCTTTCTGTTGCATTTCAATAAAATATTCATTTTCTTCTGATGCTAAAAGTTCACGTAGCCTAAAACAAATGGACAAAAAAATTAAAACTGTCAGCCATTTACTTTTTGTTATATTAAATTTCCAAATTGTCAGATCATAAACTTTGTGGCAGGAAAAGATCATTGTAGTCCCCCATAAAATAAGACATTGATGTGTGCCATATTTTATTTGATCATATACAGATGAAGTATGAAATCTGTATTTTCAACAAAAGTAAAAAGGACAGATTTAAATTAAAAACAAAATATAAAACAATGTATTCTTTTGTAAAAATATTTGTAAGTAATAGTTATTGATTTAACTATGATCTTGACTATACTTGAATTTTTATGTGCATGTGTGCATGTGTAGTTCTGGGGGTTGAACCCAGGGCTTTTTCTATTTTTCATTTTGAAATAAGGCCTTGCTAAGTCATTGAGTTGTTTGCCCAGAGTGAGCTTGCATTTGTGATCCTCTCACTGCAATACACTGCACAGAAGGCTGGGATTATGGGCCTGCATCACCATGCTTGCCTTACACTTGATTTTCTGACAGGCCAACATCAAGGTGTGGTTTCAGAAATGTTTCATAATATAGGCCACCAGGTTTGCAGCCTTACTTATTTCGCCTTTCTTCAGTGTTGATAATAAACTCTTGCATGGCATCTTTAATTCTTGCTCTCACAAGACTGTTAAAAAACTTGCGGTCAATGTGCTGGTCCCACTCAACTTTGAGGCGATCCCGCTCAATTGACTTAATGGAAGCCAAAGTAGCCTGATGTTTCTGGTGGCTGCGCTGGATTCTTTCCAGATGTTGCTCCATCCCTGGGCCTTTGGGAGACTTGGCTCTCTTAACAAAAAAGCAAATATTATTTATAATAAACCAAATGTCAATAGTATATTTTCAATTAATCATGACCTCTACCAATAATCATACTCATGCTAAATAAAATTGGCCATACAAAACAGATACATCCTGATAAAACTGAAACAGCTTAAGCAACTAAGAAGTAACCTGTTTCATTCTTTAAACTTGTACTTAAGATGTGATCAAGTCAGTCTCAAATACAGGTGCTCCTTGACTTATGATAGGGCTACTATACTACCTGACAAATTCATTGTAAGTTAAAAATATTGTTAAGTAAAAAAAAAATGTATTTAACACACCTAAACCACTGAATATAACAGCATAGCAACACAATACACTGTGGAGAGTATTTCACATTCACCGTCATAATCTTATGGTCTGCTGAAAGCTATGACTTGATGCTTTTCCTAGCATCTTGAGATTATCACTGTTGCATCTTAGTTACTTTTTCATTGCTGAGACAAAATATTTGACGTTCATAAGTTAGAGGAACCATTTATTTTAGCTCATAGTTTATAGAGGTTTCAGTTCATAGTAAGCTGGCTCCAAGGCAGGGTGGCATAGCAGAGGAGTGCAGCACAGAAGAAACAGTCCATGGAAGGGAAGGCGGGAGGCAGCAAAGCAGCGAGCCTCCCTTACCCTTTATATTCTATCCAGGGTACAAGCCTATTGGTCGGTGCCACCTATACCCAGGTGGGGCTTCTGTATTTAGTAAAGCCATTCAGCCACACCCAGAATTATGGTAAACCAATCAGTAAACTAATCAAGTTATCACACATCCATAATACATATTCACACACCCTAGATGGAGCCACCTCCAAAAAGCCCCACCTATGAGTACATGAGTTTTGGAAGGACATGTAGATACAAGCCATAACACCTTAGAAAAGACCTAAATTCAAAATTCAAAGTAGAGTTTCTATTGAATGCCTATTGCTTTTGCACCATTGTGGAAAAAAAAAAAGAAGTCAAATCATAGTTTGTTGTAAGTTGTGGGTTGTATTTTTAAAACATTATTTGAAATTATAAATTTCATATAGGACCCTGGAGAATATTTGATCAAACCCATGTGCCCAAGGTGCTTCAAATAGTAAAGGTAGAGTTGGATAGAACAAAAATTAGAGGTCTTTAGGCAGGCATGGTGGTATAATTCCAGCACTCAAGAGGCTGAGGCAGGAGGATTGCTATATGTTTGAGACGAGCCTGGGCTACATAGTAAGTTCAAAGCCAGCCTGAACTATATATATAGTGAGACTTTACCAAAAAAAATATATATATATAAAATAAATAGATGGCTTCTCATTCCTTACCTTTATTTTGCTGCCCACTATTCCATATTACATCATAGTCGTCATCATCAAAATATTTTCAATAATTGCTTCTCAGCCTTTTGGCTACAATCAAGTGTAAAATATTATCAATTTAAAGGAGCTACCAAGCCGGGCATGGTGAAGCACTCCTGTAATCCCAGCACTTGGGAGGCTGAGGCAGGAGGATCTCTGTGAGTTCGAGACCAGCCTGGGCTACCTAGTGAGGTCCAGGTCAGTTTCAACTACATAGACCCTGTCTCAAAAACAAAAAAACAAAACAAATAAAAAATGAAAAGGAGCTACCATCTAACTCTATAGGATATTTTATGGTTTCCAGAATCAATTTATAGTGGCTACATTTTAAAAGTGAGAACAAACTAATTTTGATAAGATAATTTTATTTAACCAATATACACAAAATATTATCATTTCAATATGTGACTCTAGGAACATTTCAAGTGGTCAAAAGTCATGTGTGAGATAGGAATGGCAACACACACCTATAATCCCAGCACTCAGGAGGCTGAGGCAGGGTTTGCCGAGTGCGAGGGCCAGCCTGGTTACATAGCAAGTTCAAGGCCAGCCCAGGCTACATAGTGAATTCAAGGCTAGCCTGCACTACAAAGCAAGGCCTTGTCTCAAAAAAAAAAAAAAAAAAAAAAAAAAGATACCTTCATCCTGTTTGATTCTGGCCTCCATCCATCGCAAGCAGTGGTGAGCATTTCACTGAGTTTCAATTTTCTTATTTGTCATATGAGCAAAATAAATGTTCTCCCAGTGAGTATTCACAGTCCATTTTTAATTGTTTTCTCCTGGAGACTTGTTTAGTGTGCAAGCCTTATCTCTTGGTTGTTTTACTTCCTCTAACATAACTCTGTTACTCTCTAACATTTATATTTCTTATAACACACAAATACCTCAGGAGCACATGCACCAAGTCTGGCCTCTTTTTTTCTCCTAATTCTTTTATGAGAACAGTCTTTAATAGGCCTGCTTTTCTGACTTGGGGGTATTTTTTGTTCTGTTTCTTATTGGTTTCCAACATAAGAGCACCCAACCAAAAGCTAAGCCCCCAAGCACTGTGTTTGGATATAGGCACCAAAGAACATGAGTTTCTGTCCTTCATTAAATCTGTCTAGATTATCAGCTTGAACCTCACAGCCTGAAGAAGCTTCCTTTCTACTGCTTTCCAGTCCCCTTATAGTCTTTGTACCTAGAGGAGGAGCAGTCTGTAGGGTCAACTGAAATTTGCTAAGTGCACAGTGGAGAATAATACAACTGTATCCTTCATTATTCTTGATCTTTTTTTTCACAAACTGCCATTACAGAGTATATAGAATATAATTTACTGTTAATATTTAATTCTTCGTGGATGAGCAAACTGGCTTTGTAACTAGAGAATAAGCTCTGGTAAGGCAGGGATCATGCTTCTAAAGAAGGGTAAACTTTCCAGGATGACTGGACTCACTTCTGCAACATCTGTGTTGCTGTGCACAGGGGTGGGGGTCAAGCAAAAGGTAGATTTTCCGGCCTGTAGAAACTAGTTTGTAGGAACAAAGGACAAGAGGTGCTTAGACCAATATTTCATGGGTTCTCAGCAAGATCCAAATTCTGCAGCAAACAGCATCCCCATGGCCTACCACTACCGCCTTAACCTTGGAGACAACCACCTGGTGTAGTCTGCATGGATACTTCTGTCCCCTGCCCAATTACTGGATGAGTTGGCACAGCAAAGGTTTGGAAGCCACACATAACCCCTCACAGTTCAATTCCCCTCCCACAGATGATTTTCCTAGGGGCACAGGATCAGTCCAAGATTATTCTGTTGAATCATCACCAGCCCAGATCCCAGATCTGCTTCCTCTCCAGCTTTCTTTCCGTGTCTTGGAGACTGAAAATCCCCAAGATCTCAAGCGGCGATTCCACAAATAAGACTATGTATTGTGACTGGAGGTTGGGTGGGAGAAGAGAATGACAGATGAGTGGGCGAGGGGCGAGATGGGTGAGCGACCATGTTTCTTTTAAAATTCAACCGTCTGTACCCAGGACCTCCTGTCCTAGAGAAAAATCCCAACTGGGGCACAGGCTGCGCTATGCTAGGCTGGAGAGAGGGGAGATGGCGAAAACTGCAGGGTTCTGTATACCTATCTTATGCTTACCATGATCACCACCTTGGGAGTGGGGCCCTTAACCTCCCGCCGTACGATACCACACCGCTGGCTGTACATTTTCGTATCCCGCTGGTATAAAGCCGGCTAGGAACGACCGTGACCTGCAGAACCCGCCTCCGCCACCAACGTGAGATTTGGTTGCCAAGGTGAGCCTCACGGTGAGGGCAGTGGAAGTGGGTGGGTCGAGCGGAAGTTGGTCTCGTTGCCATGGAGCACACAGACGCCAGAGCTCGTAACTTCCTCTTGCAGCCCCGGAGTTGGGTCTGGGCCAGCAGCTGAGTTCCCGCCCTGGGCCAGACTGACACCATCCTGGCTCCGTTTCTCTAGGGCCCAGAATGGCCGGAAAAAAACCCTTTAAACCCGAGGGAAGTTGAAGATCTAATTATATTTCCAGTCCTCTCTACTATTTATAGACTGTGAACAGTTTAAAAGCACAAGGAAGACTAGTGAAAATTTTGTGGGAAGGCTAAATTTTGTACCTACGTTATTCTCGATGATGGCGATAATAATCATCACAGGACAACCTTATATTTGTGTAGTTCTTTACAATTTGCAAGATATTTTCACAGATACAACCTTTGAGCCTGACAAATATCTTACAGGGTTGATGAAACAGCAGGTATTATCATTTTACATCGAAATAGATTTAAGGCCCAGGGAGCCAAAGTGCTTTATTAAATCATCCAAACACTAATAATAAATTTCTTAATAAAGTAATTCTACTGCACTGGGCATAAACCAGGGCTTATACTTAGGGTTACCCTAGGAAAGGGGTCAGATCAAATGGGCTGGTGGGGGCACTGGTGTGACCTGGATGGGCACAGTTTACTTTAAGAAGTCTAAATTGAGGGGTCACTGTGGACCACGACAAGGATCCTGCTCAGTACTCCAGGTAATCGGTACCTGAGCATCAGGATACCATGCAGAACTGTCAACACAGATCAGGAAACCTGACCCAGCTCTCAGCACAGGTGAAGATCATAGCTGTATTTCCCGTCAAGAGCAAGATGGTTAGTACTAATAGGCAATTAAAAAATGACACTTTGGTACTCCCATTCTAAACTGGGGGCAACATAGAACACTAACTAGATCACAGGAAAAAAAATCAGTAACTACACCAGTCACTGAGGTATACTAACAACCACCATACGGCTAATGTTTACACTCTCTTAAGGCTGCAGTAAATTAGCATTCCTTAATTCTTTGTAATCCACCTGCTTCGGATTTCCTATGTGGTACATGTCTAGATTTGGATTCCATTTCCTGAATTGCTGGTTCAGCTTTTCAGCCACAAAATAAAAGTCTTTCTTCTAATAATTTCTTTTAATTATTTTTTTCCTCCTATAATGCTTCTTCTTTCAATTGTAGTTCGGTAAAATACTCATTTTCATTTACTGTTAAGAGTTTACGTAGCCTGAAACAAACAAAAAAGAAAGAAGTTAGGAAGTTTCCTGGGTTCCCTGGACAGTGTCCTGTGGGGCTGTGGCTCCTGGATGTTTGCATCTCAGTCTTAAGAGGGTTCTGGGCTACTAATGAGCCTGGGTGGAGCCATCCCCCTACACACACACCCTCTGGGAGAAGAAACAATGAAAACGGCAACAGGCACCCTCCTCCCCAGCAGGACTGGGAAGAGTCACTGAGGTGATATTCTGAGCAGCCCATCAGAATGTATTTTCAGAGGTCACAGGGATGCCTGGGCTGACAGCCAGCTGCCATCATTAAGTCCCACGTTGGTTCCGAGCTTGTCGCGGCCAGGCCCTCACCTTGGGCAGGCCTGGCAGTGTAACTCTGGTTCAGTGTTGCCTTTTTCTCCACTATTTGAAGAGGAAGTCACTTCCTTCAGAGCTCAGCCCAGGGACTGGCACTGTACTGAGTAGAGGCCTGCCCCAGAGCTGCCAGGTCAGCAGCAGACAAGGACAGTGTGTCTCAGCTGGCCAGATGACTTCAGTTGAGAACTGCCCATGGGCAGCCCCCTGGAAAGATGGGACCACTGGGCCAGGTGTAGAGCACCAGGAGCCTAATTTCAGCCACCCCTCGAAGGCCTACAGAAGCGTTGTGCCCAGATCCTTCAACAGAACTGATGATCCTGCCACCCACTACCATAGTTTCTCTGAGGCAGTCAACACGGTTACCACCATCCACACACCAAAGAAATGCTAAACATACAAGTCAATAAATGGGACAATAAAAATCATTTAAAAGTAATTTTTAAATAGAACTGCTTAAGAGTTAGAAACTAAATTTCCAATTTTTGCCCCAACAAAGTTCTCACAAAAGCTGGCTTCCCCATACTTTCTTCAATTGTGTATTTTCAGCATTACATTCCATGATAAATTTGGAAATCCATTCACCACTTGTAATACACATTGATACATTAAATCGGACGGACCATATCTTTTCAATTTCTGCATCCCAGTATTAAGTACAGTGCCTACCACAGGATAGGTTCTCAATACTTGAATAGCACAAAAACAGCCAAAACCAGTAAGTCTGTTCTGGGTGAAATTCTGTACTTGCTGTGGTCACCATGAAATCTATGGTCTTCAGCTTTGCATTTTCAGCAACGTAGTTTTATCAAGTTATTCTCAGGTGAGTAGCGAGACCCTTGGAAGCTGATTCATGGCAGGGTGGCTTTGTAACAATGTCAACTTGACTAGGCTATGTTTCCCAGAACTCCCTTCTCAGTGTGTTGCTGGCTAGGTCAGGCCACAAGAGACATTCTGCCTGAGAACTGGAGAGCAGAAGTGAAGAAGCTGAATATTCTTTTTACACTTGGAAGACTGGTGCAAGGACACCAGGAGCTGCTGCAGTTCATGCATGCTGTCACTTATTTGCTGGCTCACCTCTTTGGTGTGGGGCAGCAGATAGGCCTGCAGTCAGGCCTGCAGCTGCTCCACCTTTCCTGGGATCTTCCATCAGCCTCTCTAATCCTGGGCCAGATGCATTAATTTTATGAGGAAGGGCACCAGTTTCTTCTGCAGGATACCCATATCATCGAAGTGGGAGGCGACGAGAGACTGACATGGGTTCCAGGCCATTCTCATTCGTGCTGGCTCTTGCTCGTGGGCTCCAATGTGTCCTCGGTCTCCCAAACTTTATATCCATCTTCCCTTTCCGACTGCCTCCCTGCAGACTTCAAGCTCCAGCATTAGATGCAGACAACAGCCTTATAGAGACTGTTTAACCAGCTCCCATAATTACACAGGTTCAAATCCCTCTGACAAATCCCTTAAAATACATGTGTATCTTGTGTATTTTGGTGGTTCTGCTTGATTGTACCCTAATTCACTCACATGGTAATCAGACTCTTCACTCAGGAGTCAGAATGCCAGTCAAATGAATTTTCCTGAGAACATCACTGTCAGAATTACAAGAGTAATAGGGTTGGGTTTTGGACCCTAGGGAGAAAATTGCAGTAACAGATTACCCAGTCTTGGTTGGGGCTGGGCTAAATAAGGCAAGGCAGAGAACAGAAGAGGAGAGTGGCAGAGAGCTGTATCTTCTAAGTTACAAATGGGAAATAACTAATCCATATCTGACTTAACTACCGATACAGTGCTGAGAGTAGGTAAGGCAAGGGAGGCAAAAGGGAGAATAAAAAATTTAAGGACGCACTGTCAGTCTTGGCCCTTATAAAGCTAAGTAACAAATTATGTCTGATCTTTTTGGCATTTTATGAATGAAGCATGCATGCTAAGTGAGGTAAGGCTTAGCTAAGACTGACCCTGGGGTAGAACTGGAAGCAGGAACTAGCCTCCTAGTAGACATTTGGGTTGAGGGGCAAGCAGAGCTCATAAGAAGGCAGGAAACACCTGTTTGTCAAGAGACATGGGCCAGGCTGGTTCCAAAGACTTTAGTTTGAAAGACTTTACTTCCAAAGACTGCTCTGACTGAGGTCGGAGAGTCAGTCTGACAAGCAAAGCAGACAGCACGCAACGGAGAAGACACCTTTTAGGGGTGAAGATTGCTATGTAGCACACGGGTCCTGTGATGAACTCAGTTTCTATAAGAATAGCTGCTCTGAAAACAAAGTTACCCCATCCATATAGCTTTGGCACTCCTTAAACCATGCTAAAGGCAAGAGTATAACGGATTTATACATTATTTACAGTAATCCACTGTCTGTTTTCAAAGTCACTGAAGATGATTACTACAACACTGCACGTAGGATTGCAGTTAAAAGTTTAGTGCCTTAAAGAACAAAGCCTTTTACAGCCCCAGGATAATTCTAGCTTTACAAACTCTTGCTATTCGACATAGGGAAAGTTCATCTGAGTGTTTTTTCATCTGCAAAATTGCACAGAGCAACGCTGCCTAAAAAGACTGCTTTGAGGATTCAAAACATTGGATCCATAGGAGCTCAATGAACAGAAGAAATTCCTTTCCTTTCCTCATTTATTCACATTGCATTTTCAATTGTTGTCTCCCTGAGAAAATGTTTAGAGACACTGCCAGGTCTCATCAGAAGCCACTTAATTCATATTATTAGCTTATTTAGGCTGTTTATGGTGGCTTTAATTGCATCCCCTTCCCTACACCACCTCCCCAACTGTTCCATCCAATCTCTCCTTTTGAGAGAAGCAGATACACCAACTTTCTACTCTGACTTTCTCTTTCCAGCTGCTTCCTGTTAAGTCTGATGTACTGAGTAGGCCTGCTCAAGTTTGCTGGGAAGTTTTCCTTTTAGGGTTGATACACACAAGCCCTGCAACCAATCTATGGTCCAGTCCCTAGGAGATCAGGGTTGTCTTGTGAAGCCGGTCTGCAAATTATCACCTTGAGTTCTATAGTCTGCAGAAGCCTCCAGTCTACTGCTTTCTAGCTCCAGGTTTTTTAAGGCCCTTGGACCTAGAGAAGAGGGAGCAGGTCTGTATGTTGAATGAGGTATGCTATGTACAAAACGGAGCATCACAAAACCATTTCCTACTGTTCTGCATCCTCCACCCATTTCCACTTAATTATCCTGTATTTTTCTTAAATATTACCAGTTCAGACAGACCTGTAATATATAACTATTTTGCATACAGGAAAATAATAAGCTTAAGTAAGGATCCTGCGTCTTCTAAAGGCCAAGCTTTATAGGACTCAATGCTGTCATCATTAGGCCCCTCAAACCACTGTGCATTCAGCAGAGGCTCAGTTAGTAATTATGTCATACCCTAGGTATAGCTGGCACAGTTTCTGGTCTGCTGGAACTGGTCAAGGTAATTCAGGTGCTTAAATAATAGTTTCTGCTGCCTGTCTCTGGGGTTCTGTGCAAGGCCTGTGGACCTTCTACAGGAGTCAGCATTCCTGTCTTCCTCCCACCGTCTCAGGCCTTATAGACATCTATCTACCCTTCATCCTATTGTCAGGGCCAATATAAAATTTCTGCATAGTATCTGAAACAGTAACCTCAACAGGGAAGGCTCAAGAGACATAGCCCAAGCCCCTCCATAGAGGCTACTCTGGGAGGCATAGGACAAGCCAGAGGTCATGCAGCTGTATGCACCCAGAGAGTGAGCTTAAGACCCACACCCCCTACCTACCCAACATCCAGGCCAGCCCAGCACTAACTCTATGATATATACTCTTCCCATTGTCAGGGACACCCAGTGGTCTCTTAAGAGACTCCAAAGGCCTTCAAGACCTCAAATGGTGATCCTCCAAGAGCTTCTATATTATTAAGTTTAGCCTTTCCAGGATTGTCTTAGGATGGTAGGGACAAATTCTTTCAAATCTTATCAGACCATCAGGTCTTCTCTCCCTCCCCCAAAAAGAGATCCTGACCTGGAATGTTACTGTACTGGATTTTTGCAGAAATCTCTAGGATGCTGCAAAGCCCTCTGCACTAGTTGTGAACAGCACAGCAGGTGGGCCATTATCTCTCTCTGCGCCCAATCAATCTGCTGGATGTACTTTTAAAATTCAGGGTCCACATCTGACCAGCACCCACCCCATCCCCACCGTTCACTGTGTGGGGCACACCTTGGCAACCAGGCTGCTGTGTCCCGGAAGCGGGTTCCACCCAGGCTGAAAATCTCCGTGATCTAGGGAAGAATTAACATCATGGGTCAACATGGCTGGAGGGGCTAAGGCAAGATCAGGGCAGGGACGGGTGTCCCCCAGCACTGACCACGGGTGTGCCAGCCCCTCCTGCCTCCTCCTCTGGGGCCGATTCGGAGACACAGCCATCCTTGTTCTCCTCCTTTCCCTCCTCAGGGTCAGGTGGCTCTTGCTTCACAGGTGGCAGGCCCGGGTCTACTGCCTGGGAGAAGTGGGAAAGGGCAGCAGTTAGAAGGACAGGGTTGGACTGAGCAATGTTCCTACAGCCAACCTGTCATCGTGTTGTCAGATCTCACTTCCTTCACAGTTCAGCACAGAGATGCCAGCTTGTGCCTAAAATCCTTTACCATTCCTCACTGGTCTCCATTTTCCTGTTAACTGGGCAGCAAATTGGACAAAGCTAGTTGCCTGTGGATAATTGTGCAGAACAGCCACCATCAGCATACCTATCACTCTCACAGTGCTACCATCACAGCTCACTATCACTCTGCTTACAGACCACCCATTATGGCACCAACAGAACATCCATCACTGCCCCCACCTTGCTAGGGCAGCCAGGCTGCAATGTGGGAGAAGTCAGGACGGCTGTGCCTGGTGTCCACTCTTCGTGGGCATCTGCCTTCTCTTGCTTCACCTGAGGTAAGGCCACAACCCAACTCAGGCCAGAGCACTGGGCCTCCTGCATGAGGGAGGATGGCAGCAGACATAGTCTCAGCTCCCTGACAGGAGCCTTGATGGCACTGGGAAGGGAAGAGTACAGTGGGGCCCTCACCTGCAATGGAGCTTCTGTAGAAGCTGTAGCAGGGCCAGGAACCTGCACAGGACTGCTGGCGCCCTCTCGCAAAAACACAAGGTCGGTGCCAGGTGGAGGCAGCACAAAGCCACCACCTGCTTCCTGCTTCAGTGGCGCCTGGGCACGACCTGGTCGGGCTGTATGCGTAGCCAAAGTGGGCTTCAGAGTGGGGCCCAGACGGGGCCGTCGAGCAGAACCAGGCCTCTTTCGACGAGGGTAAAGTGGGGGCGATCCTGCCCACTCCTCGGACCCTGACCCGGTACTGGGCAGCAGCCGCTTCTGTGAGAAAAGATGGGGTACTATGGCCACCTAGTACCCTGACCAACCACACCCACCCTTCCCTGTTCAGCGTGCCTGCTAACTTCCCATTAGTCCCAGAACACAATTTCCGAATGTATCAGCCTTCATCATTGAGCCTGCCAGTCTCCCATTAGCAATGCCTGTGTAACCTACAGTCACTTACCCCAGCACAATGTCTTGGCCGGAGCTACTGTACCTCCCAACCCACCTAACAGGCCTGCCCACCACTCCCAGGCACTGGAGTACCTGGCCCAACCTATCCCATCCACTTGACCCTTCCTGCCCCACCCACCATGGCAAACTGCAGGCATTGGCGCCAACGACACTTCTGGCGCTTCTGGTTGCTGCCCCCGAATTTGGGCTTGTCGCAGCAGAAGTCACAGCGGCCACAGTCCATCCGCCGTAGGCAGGCTGCACAGGCCCCGCACTTGCGGTTCTGCCGGCGGTTCGTGTAGGGCTGCTGGGGTGGGGGGGAATGGTGGTGCTGTCACTAGGACTAGGAGAGGCTATTCTCAATGCCCATTCCAGTGCTCTTCGTGGTATTCCTTTAGTCCCACTGGAGAAGCCAGCTGCACAGTAGTTTTAGTCTGCTGACTCCCCATTTGTCACAGTTCAGCACTGGCAAGTTCAACATTAGCCACTATCACTGTCAGCTGGCCTTCAATACCATTAGGACTGTGGCTGCTTCATCGCAGTTATCATCACAGTAACATCACAGTATCTGCTGCTCTCTAATCAGCTACCAAGACAATGTTTTTGACCCCCACTTCCAGCAGGATTTTTTTTATCCTCTATTAGCTCCCATCAATTGCTGGCTATATCGGCGCATCCTGCAAGAACACTGAGCACTATGCTCCCTGCTCCATCAGCTCCACCACTGGGTCTGCTGGTTCTGTGTTAGCCACCAGTGTTGGTTCATCTGACATAGGCACTGTCACCATATATGTTAATTCCATATTATTCCTTCCCCATTACTGCTCATCCTATTCTAGAACCCATTACTGTGCCTTGTTGCTCCCTTATTAGGCCTACTTTAGCAACTCCTTCTTTGGGGTTAACCAAGCATCTAGAGTGTCTAAGCTTATCCAAGTAGGGTAGGGCCACTCACTAGCTCGTCCTCGTCTACCCAGTAATAGATGACTTCGGCAGGTGATGAGGGAGCCAGGGCGCTGGCATGCTGCAGAGGCAAACGGGGTGGGGGTCAGGGCAGGTACTGGGTAAGGTTAGGGCTGTGCTTTCCCCCGGCCCATCAGGGCCTTACCAGTTCTGCAGGCTCTGGGGGCTCTGTTGCAGGAGGTGGAGGCAGTGCCTGAGCTTGGGAGTGGCGTTGGGCAACCATCTTGGAATCAGAGCCTCCCCTGCGGCGGCCACGTTTACCCTGGGAGAGAGCCAAAGGAACAGTCAGGGCTTGGTGGCACCAGTCAGACACAGGACACCCTGAGAATATGGAAAGCATGCACTACAGGCCAGGCACAGTGGCACATGTATGTAATACCAGCTGTTGGGACACTAAGGCAGGAGGTGCACATGTTCAAGGCCAGCCCTTCCCAGAACACAGTGAGACCCTATCTCAAACAGAGAAAAGCATGCATGGGACAAGCAGGCAGAGTGTGCAGTGTGGAACTCACAGCAGGGGGAGCCACAGCCAGGGGAGGGCGTCGCTGACATCGCTGATGATGGCGACTGAGGCGGTGAGCAAGGTGCTGGCAGACAAAGGCAGGTAGGCAGGTCAGGAAGGTGAGTGTGAGATGGAAGAAAAAAGAAGACATGAGGTGGGCAAGGCCAGGTTGAGAGGAAGCAGCAGTGGCGGTAACTTTTAACAGCAGAATGAGCTCTGGCCCAGCCTTGGCCCCGCCAGTGCTGGACCCTCCAGCCTGACTCACCCGAAGGCAGCGCCGCTGCACACACCTCCACTGGCGCCTAAGACCAGGGCGGGGAGGGCGAAGGCAGACTCGGCAACGGCCACAGTCCTCTTGGGTCTGACAGCCCCGGCACACTCCACACCCTCGGCTCTGTGGGGGGCCGGAGGTGTGATGCAAGGGGTCAGGGCTATGAGGGCCAGAAGCTGGGGTGAGCTTTGGGCCCACCCCACCTGCCGAACTCACCCTCTCCACAATCTTGAGGCAGCGTCTCTGCTCACACTTGCAGAACAGCCCTGAGGCCACATCATGGGGCAGCTGCAAGAGGCAGGTGGAACAGGCCCCGCAGTCCTCAGTTACTCGACAGGCTGCACACTCTCCACAGCCAACACGCTGCCAGAAATGAGTGGCATGAGTCACAGGCCCAGACAGGGTAGCCCCAGGACCTTGCTCCTCCCATGTCTGCTGAGCCAACATCAGCTCCCATCACCATGTCTGTTAGTCCCCCATTAACTGCATCACTGTGTCTTATAATTACTGATTAGCCACCCATACTAAGTCTACAATGTCTACCAGTCCCATTAACTTCATCCTTGTGTCTGTTGATAGACATCCTATTAATTCCCCTTCCTATGTCTGCTAACCAAACCCATGGGTGGATCCCTATAAAAGAACTCACATACCCTGTGAAACTACCACCAATCCTGGAACCTCTACCAGCCCCATCACATCTTATCCCACTGCAGGGCTCTGAGAAGAAAGCACACTGTTCTTACCTTAAACATCCTCTGCTCCCGGTTGAAGGCAATTCTCTGTGCTGGGAGAGGGACAGAGAGGAGGAAGAGAAGAATAGATACCTAGTTTCACCCACTGCCTTTGCCCCAACTCCCTTCTACCATTCAACCTCTATCCACACTTCATACTTCCTAAATCCAACCTCCAACTATGCCAATAGCCTCTTTCTTAACATTCACCCATCAACCTCCAACCTAGCCTGACACTGGGCCTGTCCCAGCTCTTGTCTCCCAATGTCCTATCTGGGGGGGGGGCAATCACCTCGGCAGTCCTTGCACAATGTCTTGAGCCTCTGCCTTCCAGTACCATCCCCTGAGAAGCTGATTCCACAGTTCTCACAGCACCTGAGATGGGAAAGACAGGTGTGGGGCCCCAAGAGCACCTCCAGTCTCATTTCTCTCCTATCTGGCTCAACTTAGGCCAACACTCACCCAGGTGCAGGGAATGAAGCTGGGGCTGTGTCATTATCAGCCTTGGTTTCATCCTCTTGGGTCTCTTTCCTGACCTCACCTCTCTGGGGTCCAACATGACGTTTCTTAGCCTTGGCTGGCTTAGAAGGCTTCTTTCGTTTCTTGCTGGGGACAGCCACAGAACGGGCCTGGAGACGAGAGGGCAGGAGTGTGGGTCAGCATATGGATGTTAGGCACAAGTCACCCCTGCCTTGGGCACCCCACATTGTGAAGTACCTTAGGGGCTGCATAGCACAAGATGCCTTGTTTGAAGTCGAAAAGGCTGAGGTCACACGCAGGGCCCAGGTATCGGGTGAGCTCAACTTTGCTTCGGATCCTGTCTCCTGTGGGGCTGGGGATGGGCTAGGATGAGTTGGCACCCAGGTGGAGCCAATGTCATGCTACTCATTCAGCCCTCCCAGTTAGTGGGATACAGGAAGCAGCCTGGAATGGGCCTATGAGCCCACCCAGGTCTCACACCAACTAATCCAGAGTAATGAAAATAAATATAAAATATGACTAAATACCACCATGTATACAAACATAAAGTCACAAGATGCATAATGTTTTGGTCAATGACAGACCACATATTGTATGGCAGTTCCATAAGATTATGCGAGCTAAGAAATTACTGTCTCGCAACATTGCTGCCATTATAATGTAGTGAGGCTGGTGTAAATAAGCCTGTGCTATCAGTCATATATAAGTATAGTACATATAATTATATATAGTATAAAATACTTGATAAAGTGATTATTACTGGTTTTTATATTTACTACATGCTTTTTATCACTTAAGTATATTCCCATTTATAAGAAAAGTTTAATGTAAAATAGTGTGACATGTTAAACAAGTGGCAGCCTTATTCATCTCTTTTACAGCAGTTCTTGATTTTATCACTTTCTCATGCTTGATTTGTTTTGTTCATCAGTCTAAGGAGCAAAAGGCAATAGCATATGTATATGCACACACACACACAGACACACACACACGCCACATAATATTTTGATCAATGATGAACTGAATATACAAAAGAAGTCCCAAGATTATATTGTCCAGTGACATGGTACCAGCTGTCCTAGTCTAAGTACATTCTATAAAGCTTGCATTATGAGTTTGCCTGACATGTTTCTCAGAACATATCTCTGTCCTTAAACAATGCATGACTGTATAACCTATACCATCTAGCTTTGTGTAACTATGCTCTATGATCCTGTCACAATAAATTCACCTAACAGTACATTTCTCAGAATATATTTTCATTGTTAAAAGCAACACATAACTGCATAAATGCAAAGAGAAAGCTAGGTATGGTGATGCAAGCCTGTGATCTAGCCACTTGAGAGGCGAAGGGAGGAAGAATGAGTTTGAGGCCAGTCGGGGGAACATAGTGAGATCTGGTCTAAAAAAATAAATAAACCAAAACCTCAGGTGCAGTGGTGTACACCTGTAATACCAACTACTTGAGACGCTGAGGCAGGAGGACCAATTAAGCCCAGGAGTTCAAGTCTGACCTAGGTAACACAGAGTGACCTTATCTTAAAAACAAACAAACAAAAAATGAAGAACACCAAGAGACCATAGGGCAGTGATGGCAAACCTTCTAGAGACGAATGTCCAAACTGCAACCCAAAATCCACTTATTCATCACAAAGTGCCACCAAAGCAATTAAACCTGAATACTTCAGTTCCAGTTTAGAAAAAACAATTCATACATTAACATCTTTTGTCTTAAAAGAAAAATACATAACACGCATGCCATAGGTTCACCACAACTGCCATAACAGATGCTGGGGATGTAGCTCAGTGACACAGTGCTTGCCTAGCATGTGCAAGGCCCTGGGTTTGATCCCTATCACCACAAAGAAAAAAAAAATAATGTTAGAGACCTCTAAAAAAATAAATGTAGAGAATATAGCTCAGTGGAAAAGTGCTCGTCTAGCATGCACAAAGTCCTAAGTTCAATTCCCAGTAACAAAAAGAAAAAAAAGACATATCTACAACACAGTACTAGTGGTATTGAAATTACTTTATATAAATAAAAACACAAATGAGAACAAGTAATATGTAAAACATATAAGCATTACATAATCAAGTAAAGAAAATGTGTAAAAGAAATGGTTTAAAATATATAAAAATGAAACTACATACAATATAAAATATAATTAATGATGGGAAAAATACTCTACAGGTCTACTCATTTCTGTGAGGCATTGATTGTGCTTTATAATAAATTATCTTTTCAAGAACATTTAGGCAGCAAATAAACTCAGAAGATAAAACATGGGGTCTCCTTTCAGACCAAAAAGAAAACGTACTATCCTAGTATAAAAAAAGATTTAATTCAGTAAGTTCAGACTTGTTTCCCTATAATATAATTCACTGTACATGTAGTAAATGTTATTGTACTCTCAATGTCACTAGATGGGAAATGGGATTCAAGGTACTAGCATAAAAATAATGATATTCTGGATCTTGCTAATGGTGTAATAAACTGATTTTCATCACTGACCCAAAAGTCTTGTATTTCCTACCAGCATCCACAAAACTGTTATGAAGGCACTTGTCTGCAAAAGTAGGGTTAAACCTCAGATCCCACAGTTCTTGACAACTATACTCACAAGTTCCAAAAGTTTTATACAAATATGTAAATATGAATCAAAAGTAACTATTTACAGTTCTACTACATTCCTTTAGGGAAATGGCAACTTTGACATAAAATGAAAACAGAGTGTAGAAAGTTTAATAACTATCTGAAAACATGAAGATGTTTATAAACTTGTTTTATATTTACAGTCAATTCTCATTATTCATGGTAATTAGGTTTTTAATGCTGCCACGAACCCTGATTTAGTGAATTAGTGAACATTCCTAGGAAAAACACAGGGTTACGTTCCAGCAAAACTTTGGTCATTTTCTTTAACTCATCAATGCGTAATATTATTTTAGGTATTTATTTAGACACCTTTCTTAATCTATGTATTTTTACAAATGATTGTAGAGTCCCTCTCTGAATGATTCAAAGCCAGGGGCTTTGGAGGCTGTTTTTGTCATATAGGTTCAATTGCCAATGTCCTTATCAAACAAGTCAGCCTCAAAAAAAAAGTCTCACAGGCATTGAAAATCTATTCTACTAAATAACCCTTTTCCTGTATAACATCAAATATTTTTAAGACTTTTCCCCACAGATTCCCCTGATCTGTACCTGCACAGCATAAAAATTTAATATTTTTCATGCCATATCAACTTTTGAAATGTACCAGCCAGCACTAGCTGAGACAGGCTTACATTTTCCTAATACTGGGTAACATGTCTTTGGCTTTCCTTGTAATAAATAATAATGCTGTCCAAAATACTTTATTGGTTATTTTATAGCTCTACAAATTTAGCTGTTTTTCCATCTTTTCCATAGCTTGATCAAATATAGATGTTACTTTTTGTACTTCCCAGAGCGGCCTCATAAGTTTCTTCTTCTTTTTCTGGACATACCATACGTTTAAGTCATGACATTGAACTCACAGCTAACACTGTAACTCATGCTCAAATGAAGCTTATCTGACAAGTATTTTCTCCGTAAGACATGTTACAGCTTTCTTGCACCAAAAACACTACATGGCACTTCAGAACTTTATCTGGGGATCATTTTGAACAGTAAAATCACTAGAAAAACACACAAAAATGAAAAAAAAAAAATGGTACTAAATACACCACATAAAGGAAAGCTGAAAGAGAAAGGCCTTGTTCCATGTTGGCTAGGAATATGTGCACTGGGGTACTCAAATTTTTAACAGCTGTGTCTGTGAATAACCACGAAAGCACCGAATTAACTTTGGTCAAATAAATTTTATTAAGTAGGTGAATTTGCAAATATGAAATCTTTGAATAATGAGGATTGACTATGTGCATAATTTGAAGTCTACCCATCAATTTAACCACAGCTGTATCTAACCAGGCTCAACCCCTCCCCTAACTCTGCCCACAACCCACCCAGTACCTCTGGTAATAGGTGTCTGAGCGTCCACAGGTGGCCCCTGACTTGCGATAGACTTCACGTCGCTTCCAGCCAGGGCCCAGGGCTGGGCAGTCCAGCCAGTCCTCAGCCATGAGGCCTCAGGAAGCAGCAGCAGCCTGCAAGGTGGAGAAGGATGGGGCATGGGAAAGACTGAGGGTCCAGAAAGGCATAGGGAGAAACTGAGGCTCTAAAGAGGAATATACTGTCCCAAGCTACACAAATCATTGGTATCCTTTAATTCTCTGCCTAAAACCTAGTACCTGCCACAGGGAACTAGCTTTTGTATGGGAGAGAAAGCCCCATTCCCATCCTTATTCATCCCTGTCCTGGGACCAGGGGCTCTTCATTCTCTCCTTAATCTGCTAGATGCCATTGCTCTCCATTCTCCGACTGAGTCTAGCATTTCTTTCTATCACAAAACCAAGACCTTTTTATTCTTCTCCCTCATGTCTGTCTTTGGCACAGGAGACCCTCCCTGACTTAACAAGGGATTTTATCTTTCCTCTTTGTCACCCTAACGCCCTCATAATTCATAGACCCAGCCTGAGAAGACTCATCTCTCTGACCTTATTCCTCTTTTCCTTAACCCTAGAGTGGCCAATTTCTTTCAGGATTTTAACTGTCCCACTTCTTCCTCCAGTATGATATCTTCATAATTACCTGCTATTTCAGTAAAATGACTTCAACTTCCTCTGCAGAGGAGCCCCCCTGCTCCTCTGTATTATTGCCCTGAACAGCCCCTCGTTCTTCCTATTCCTCAGTTTGGAAACCTCCCACGTCTCCCTTGTCACAGCCTAAGAGCTCCCCCATCCTCAACTTGTGTTCCTTCAGTATTCTGATCTATAACTTCCCCAATCTCGACCCACAAATCTATCTCCCTCTCTCTCCTTTACAGCCAGAAAGTTATCCACTCTTTCCCTTCAGTGTTCTCATTCTCCATTTATCTTATCCACCTGAAAAACTTGATTTCTTCCTCAGCACTCCAAACTGTCCCCTCCTTTCTCACTGCCCAGGATCATTTCTCTGTCGGCCTCCTGATACTCTATTCATACTCCATGGGTCCCCCATCAATCCCTTTCAGCATCCCAATCCTCCCATTTCTCTGTGTCATCGGCATAAGTACCCCTTATTTTTCCCTCTGAGCATTATGAACCCCCACTTCTCTGCTTAACTTGGAAGGCCCGGTGTCACCCTCTGCACTGTGTAATCTCCTCCATTCTACCGCCCTCATTCCGAGATCCTGATACTCCTATCAGCATTCTGAGCCACATTCCATCCTGTCCTCCGTCTAACTCCCTCCGTTGCTCCCTTTTAATGTGCCGACGCCCGCCATTCCTCCAACTCCTCGGCCTGAGGGCCTTTCATTCCTCCCGTCAGCGTTCAGAGCCTCAATTCCTTCCTACCCTCCGCCTGAGCGCTCTCCACTCCTACGCCTGTCTCACCAGCTTGGCACCGGGCCCGTAGCTTGCGCCGCTCTAGGCCCTCAGACCCATGGTAAGGGTCCCGCCTGCGCGTCCCGCCTAGCTCTACTCTTCTTCCTCCTCCGCAGCCGCCTCCTCGGAAATGGTAGCTGTCGTCTCCGCCGCTGTTCGTTGCTCCCGGAACCGGAAATCCGTTGACTGCCTCTCAGGCTCCGCCCCCGACGTGAAACCTGCGAGCGGCATTGGCGGCACGTGCCCTTACGGGGCACACTGCCGCGCCAGAGTGCCGAAGCTCCAAAGCGGCGCGCGCCCTTTGTGTGCTGCGCCTGCGCGGTGACTCTAACTGCAGTTTACGCGCCCCCCCTCTTTCAGGGCACTGCAGCGCCTGCGCTGCTCGCCTTCCCAGCTGGCGCGTCTTCCCCACGCAGTCCAGTCTCAACCTAAGGGGTGTGGACAGTATGGGCTCTATCTCCACTGGTCAGCGGCCACAAAGTCTGGAGCCGCGCTTGCACTCCTGCATCCCCTCCGTTATGGTCTCACCTCCCTGTAAACGCCCGCAGCTCTTTCCGCAGGAGCAGACCGGGGGATGGTGGGGTGAGGCCATGCCGTGCCCTCAGCGGGGTGGGGCTCCCCGCAGCCTAGTGGGCCCCTGGTGTAAACGTGTCCCCAAAGTGGGGAAAGAGACGCACCGGTGCATCTCCACCTGCACCCAGGCCACCACACGTGCTGAGTGCTAACTGGTTGGTTACCACTACCCCAAGACAAGAGGCTGCGAATATAGGTCGCTGGGCTCTCCCTGGGCAGATCCAACCCCCACAGCCCAAGGAAGTAACGTGCGTGCCAACGAGATACTCACATCCTACCTATGTACCGCAGCCCTCCCGAGTACAGGTGTGCCACTGCCCATCTCATGCAGGGGCTGAAAACAGTTGCAACTGCACCAAGCGTGAGGACCATCAGGAGTTATCTTCCTTGGTTCTTCAAAATTTTATTAACAAAACACAGGGCAGCAGGAAGGCAAGGGTAAGTAGACTTCACAGTCCCACCCAGGCACAGAGAATGGAGAAAGAGGGATACTGAGGAAAATTCTGAGAACCTTTTGTAAGGGCAAATGGGCAGTCAAAAGGTGATGGGCACAGAGAAAGTAGGAACAAAAGGGGGACTTGGGGCCACTCCCCCAACTGGAATGCAGGGTATGAGGGGCTCTGGGCTGGTGAGGATCAGCGGTCAGCACTGGAGCGCAGGTCGGTAGTGAGTGGGTCATGTTGGATCGTTTGGTGCAGCATCAGAGCCAGTAGCCCTGCCCGGTTTGTCATGGCTGTCCGTACATTGCGCTCCTGCTCAAATAACTCGTCCAGCTTGTACCACTGCCAAGGGAGTGGAAGAAGCCATAAGAAACAGCTCCTGAGACTCCCCTTAACCCTTGCCGGCATCAACACCTACCACCCGAACACGCTCCAAGTCCACTTCAGCACGCCGCAACTTCTCCCAGCAGTAATGGCGATTGCACTGGCGCTTGGGCAGGCGGCAGAAGTCACCGGTGAGCTCAAAGACGTCTCGTACAAGGGGGCACCCACATACTTCATCAGCTGGCACCTGTAGAGAAACCAGAGGTGGCGAGGGAGAGAGAAGAATGGGGCAGTGCTCACAGAGGGAAGGAATGGAGTTCAGGAACAGGGAAAAGAGGATAAGAAGAAAGGGACTTGGGGAAAGAGAAAGGAATGAAAATTGTCAAGTAGGAAAACAGGGAGGGAAGGAGAGCGAGGTAAGGAGGGTTAGAATGAGGGGAACTGAAGGAAAACCTTACTTTGGGGTCCCGTGAGTGCTCGGGGCATAGCACCTGGAGCCGCTTACAGTATGTTTTGCTCTGAGGATTATAGACATCACAGAAGAGTCGTGTGGCCCTACAAGTTTAGAGATGGTAATGGAGAGTGAGAAAAGGCCCACCTATCCTTGTCCTGCCCACTTCCTGGCTCAGCTCCACACATATTCCATTTCTGACCCCACCTTTATCTCCCCTCCTTTAACTCCCTGTAGAACCTCACTCACCCTTCAATGCGTGTGGGGTACATGGACCCAAAGGACGTCTGGCTTTCATACTGGAGGGATGAGCACAAGTGGAGATAACTGTGAATGAGTGCTGCATGCCCGCCCAAGACACCACCAAACATCTTATCTGTCCCCCATGGGGTGCACTGATATTCCCACACCATCCTCCCCCTAGGCTGACACCCTGACCTTGGCATAGCAGCGCTCCATGTGGCGCAAGGCAACACGGGGGTTGATGGGGTGCCCACAAGAGACACAGAAGATCTGCAAGTCTGTGTCATCACTGTCATTCTCGTTGCTCTGCATGGGGTAGAAGGAATGATGAGGCCAGGTATGAGGCAGGCGGTGGAACTACTGAGCTAAATCCCCGGCCTGATGAGGCCAGGTGTAACCACCAGGGTACTTGACCCTGCCCGGCTAGAACCACCATTCTTCCTAACCTCCTCATCCTCGCGCACAGCCTGCTGCTTGGCACGCAGGATGATGGCCTCAAGTTCATGGAACCTGCGCTCCATTTCCTGAAGGCGGGTACGGGCACTCTGCTGCTCACGGCGAATGCGTTCTAGCAGCTTCTTGCCATGTTCTTCAGCAATGCAGGGGCTCTGCTGCCACTGTTGGATGCGCTGGGGCAGGATCTCGTAGATTCGGCTGCAAAGAGGCAGTGGGTAGGGTGTAAGCAAGGAAGGTGGCAATTAACAAATGGATAATGAAGGTGGCTAACCAGCAGATAGATATACACAAGGGCTCTGATCATGCCCTACTCTGTACTTTGTAACTCTCTTCGCCCCCTTAAGACTCACTTGGCTGCCAGCTTCATGCCACAATCATCTGAGCAATACTTGGAGCCTGGCTGAGCAGCATGCACACAGCCAGGCCCCAGGCACTGTGGTAGTGAGGCAGGGTCCTTGGCATCAGCCCTCTCTGGGTGTTTCCATTTATCCTTGTGTTTCTGCTTCTGCCGATGCCGCTTATATCTCTCCTCTTTCTGTGGGATAAGACAGGTGAGGTCACAGTGGAATCAGTCATCCTCAGACCCTGTCTCCCTTTCCATTCCAGCTTTTCCTGGCTCTTGCCCCATCCAGCCCTTGACCTCTGCATCTCCCTCCCCACCCTGCTCCTGCCTTCCCATACCCTTTTTACCCTCTGCATCACCTTCTTCTCAGACTTCTTCTCCCGACGCTTTACATGCTTCACTTTCACTGCCCTCTTCCGAAGTGCAGGGTCCAGGAACGGAGACTCTTCTGTGTCACTCATCCAGGGCTGTAAGCAGGGTGTGCAGTGACCCTCTTGCCCCACTCTAGACAACCCAATACATATTCACTTCCCAAAGCAACCCTTCATACTCTATTCCTTCCTCTCTCCCCTTAAGAATCTCTCTGCTTCTATAACTTTCACCCTTTCACCAAGGGAGGTTCCTGGTACTCACCAGGCCGTGGTCATCAAAGGCTCCTGCACAGAAATCTTGATACAGATCAGGATCCAGGGTTAGGTCCTCATCTGAGAGTGGCTCAGGTGTGGCTGTAGCTTCAGGTGGTTCCTTGATGGTAGATGATGCCACTGCCCCCTCATCTTCACGCATGCGCCCTAGCTTCTGTGATGGCTGTGGCTGCTGTTGAGTGGGCGGTGGCCGGCGGGGCCTTGGCAAGGACTCTGAGGGCGTCACCGGCGAGAGCTGCAGGGCAGAATCTCAGGACTGGCCCTGACCGCCCTGCCCGCATGCCCTGCCCCGCCCTGGGGGCTGGACTCACCGAGGAAGGGAAGTACTTGTACGATTCCTGTGCCGGCAGGAGGAAGGCCTAGGTCAGCCCCAGATAGATGGAGGGTAGCCCTGCCCTAGCCCTATCCATCTCATCTTCCCTTGACACACCTATCCCCATACCCCTCACCAACAGGACATGTTCTGCCCTGCCGGCTGTGTCCTGACATGCCCAACCACCTATACACACCTGGCCTACCCTGCCTTCCTAGGGTTTAGGGGTTCTCCTGCCAGCCCAGCATATTTAGTCATGTAGCATTCATCAACACATGCTAGGCCCTTCCCTGCTGTTTGGATAAAATCAGGCTTTATCCCAACTGGGCCCACCAGCCCTAGTCTCAAACAGCCCCACCTGGACCGCCCAGCCATGCAATCCCACCTGACCCTGCCCAGCTCTGCCCATGCTCACCCGGGCCCGTAGCTGGCACTGGCGTAGCCGGCACTTCTGCCGGATCTTGTTGGGGCCCCCAAACTTCTTCATGTCACGACAGAAGTCACAGTTGCCACAGTCCTCTGTGCGTCGGCATGCCTCACATTCACCACACATGCGGGCTGACCTTTTGATCTGCTGTTGCTGCTGGTGATGCTAAGAGATGTTGTCCAGAATAAAAATCAGGAATTTGGGCATGGCCCAAGATGGGACTACTTTACCCAGCCCAACCACTGGCACTTACCTGACTAGGTGTTGCCACCAAGGGCTGTGGAGAGGATTTATGGGGTGAAGCAGAGCCCCGAGCAAGCATGGCCCCAACCCCTGTCCCTGACCCTGCCCGGCGCTGCAGGTCTGGATCTGGGACAGGCCTCTTGCGCCCTCCACCCTCATCCCGGGGCTCACTGCTGTCCCGTTCATTGCCATCCCGCTCCCGTGACTTTTTGTGCCGATAGCGAATCTCCAGCTTAGGGTCCTTCTCTGTGGGGTAAAGAGATGATTGGTATGGTGGGTTTTAACTGACCCAGAATCCATTTCTTCCTTTGCTTTTTCTGACTGTCTGACCTACCTGTTCTGCTCCCCTGTTCCGAGGCAGAGCTGTTTACATGTCAGTAAGCATGTAGGTGCTTACAATGCAGCCCACATTCTAGCTTACCACAAACCAACAAACACCCTGCCCACAGACATATACCACCTATTACCCATGATCACTACTACCATAGCTCTTCCCCCTCTCTGGAAGCCCCACCTGCTCTCCATATGCATCCCAGCTTCCTCACCTCGGCACTCCCGACAGTACCATTCTCGAATGGCCTTGGCCATCTTCTCAGTGATCCGGATGCAGTCCCCATGGAACCACTCATTACAGCTGTCACACCCGCTGCAGAGGATGCGGTGGGTGATAGAGATGTGAGAGATATGTCCAACTGGCCTCCCCAACCTTGCCAGCCCCACCAGCCTCTCCCTAACTTACATCATGAAACAGTTGATATCTGGTTTTCGGCAGATGCAATAGATGGGTGCATTCTCCCCATTCTCTGACTTGCTGTCCTCCCCAGCATCTGGATGCTCTGGGTCTGAACCATCTCCTTCCTGTGGAACACCCGCATTATAGCTCCTTAACCAACCTGAGTTGTAGTGGGTCATCTCCCCATTACAGCTCCACATAGCTTGCTACAAATCTCCACCCTGCCTATGAACTGCCCATCACAGCTCCCAGTAAGTCTCAGTCTCTCTCTCTCTCTCTCTCTCTCTCTCGGTTCCCACAGACACCCATCACTCAACTGGATACCTCATTACTCTCCTATAATTCTCTAAAACTCTGCCATAGACCTGCCAAACACCCTATCCTCACTCCCATAGGTTCATCACAATCTATTGCCCCAGTCAGAAGTCTTGACCGAATTCTATCAGGGATTCAACGTAGCACCTAAATTATGCCACACACTGTCATGGTCTCACAGACAGATCATGGTCCCCACATACTAGTACCCTTAACACAGACTGTCCGATACAGTTCAACACAAACCCCTTATCCCTCTATCCAAAACCCCGTCATAGTTTCCCACACATGCCACCTGAGATACCCGCTAAACTTACACTACAGACCCCCGTAATGGCATAACACAGAACCACAAGAAGGTTCACCCCACACTCCATCATTCTTCCACAGATCCCCCCCATTTGGCCCACAGATTCGGGTTACTACTCACCACAGATCCCCACGCGTCTGCTGAGACACCAGTTTTAACCCCACCGACCTCTATCGCCAAACCCCTGCCTGGACCTGGTACTCACCATATCCCCACTGCCAGCTCACTCTCACACTCCAGCTGGAGTCCCGCGAATAAGCACAAACACCTCGGCAGCGTCCGCGGCGGTTGCAAAGGCGCCCACAACTACTTCCGCTACTGGTACCACCTCCCAGGCACCGTAGTCCTATTGCGCATGCCCAATAAAACAGCGTAGCGTCAAACAAATAGGTCGGCCTCCTAGCGCTTTTGAGTGTCCCTCGGGCGCCACCATCTTGATTATCGAGTCCGTATGGTGGCCGAATTTATATATTAGCGGGAAACATGGTCGCCCCTACAATGTTGCTTTTTTGAGAGTACTGCCATCTTGTAACTCGGGTCCGTACAGTGGCTGCTTGCAAGTTTCCTCATCGTTATAGGCGATATGGTCGCACCTACTTTGTGACTTCCACAAAAATGTCAATTTGGAATCTGATTCCGTCGGGAAACCGACTTCTTACGGGCCCAGGCAAAACATGGCGGCGTCCAATTAGTGGATTTTACAAGGTCGCCGCCATCTTGGAAGCCGATTCCGTACAACGGTTGCAACCACAGCTGCTCCAGAAATTCTACTTGGATCAAATGTCATTCATTCCTCTGTTCAATTACTTTCCCCTTCAAGTGTATCAGTGAGTCATCGGCAGGCTGCGTGCTTAGCCCGGTAAAGGAAACCACTTTCCTCTAGTCTCCAAGATCACCAGCCTCTGCTCTCACCAGCTTCCCGGGCTTTCGCTCTGAGGTTTTTCAGCCAGGTCTGGTAAAGTTTCGCTTCTATTTATTTTATTTAAATACAATCCTGAATATAATTGCAAATTTCATTTTGGTTCTATAAGTCGAACAATAGCCTTCAAGTATAGTACCCTTTACTTTTTTTGTTGTTCAAGGTGTAGGACTGAAGACCCCCAAAAAGGGGTCTGCAAATTCCTAATCAGGGATTGAAAACAGGTTGAACAGCAGTCAGGACCTTCATGATTCCAGTCTCGTGATCTAGTTAATTTTAACAGTTTCATTTTAGTTCTTAACACCATTAGAGTAATTCATAACTTGGAAAAATGACTATCAACACATCTTTCCAGAATGTGTCGCACAAACGTATAAAGACCATTCAACAACCTGTGTTATCTTTGCCTACAAATACAACTGAACAGTTTGCTGCAACCCCTTCTCCTCCCACCAAAGGCCTCATGGATATAGCGGAGTACTTATTCTGGGCAACTAGATTAAGTGTTTCCTGAGTGGTCATTCTCACTCTTGGCTCAAACTCCTTTTCTTACACATACTTGTGTGAGATTCTAAGTTGACAAAAACACTTCCACATGTTATTCTAAAAGTTGCTGTAAACTTTTAAATATGGCTCTTCAGGCTTATTTATTCCTGGTTATCTTCTTAGATGTAGTGAAAATAAAAGGGGGAAAAAACATAAAAGTGAAACCAAGTGAAAAGAAAAAGAACCCGTTAGCTTTAATTGCTTACAGTCAGTTGCTTTTGTCACCAATTTTAGAGATAATGTAATTATTCAATATACTCCCATTATCTTTGCTATAGAGAACCCCTCTGTCTTAGGGGGTCATCGTAGTTATGGTTGCCTAAGCTTTTTTTCAGAAACATGGAGACCACTTCTGTGTGTCTTAAACTCGTTGAAAACACTTACTTTTCGCTTGGTTCTGCACAAGTTTCCGATGGGTAACCTTTGAACGTTAGAGGGCCAGAACTTCTTACCAGAGAGCCCTATCACCGCCGTTTCTGAACGTGCACGCGCCTGAAGAAGACTCTCGTTTCAATCAATACCCATGCGCATACTGGTAACTTTTCCTTGCAATCACTTTTCCACGTTTCTCCGAACACCTTGTTTCTTTATTTCACAAATAACCCTGAACTCTTTTCTCCAGGAAGCAAACCTGAGGTTAGCCCGGTGGTCTCCATATGATTTGCTGCCTTGTGAATAAGCTCTGTCTTCTGCAAAACTCCGTATTTTAGACATTGACATTCCATGTAGTGGGCAAAATGGACCTGGTTTGCTAACAAAAGCAATACTGACCGGATTTTTCAAAGTGGAGTGTGTATTAAGGGAGCAGGATCTCAGATCTCAAGTAGCTGCCTAGGAATGTGATCATGTGTCCCCCACCTCTGATGTGGAACATGGGTTCACCGCCAGATGAGAATAGAAGCCAATATGATAGCAAAAAGAAAAGCTTTCTGGCACGGCGACCCATCATTAGATAGGAGGCAAGCTCAAATCTGCCTCACCAATCAGGGAAGAGAGTTTTTAAAGGCTTTGGAGAGTTGATGGGTTCAATAATATCCTGCGTCTGAATCTGACCAATTTACAGTATATCTTTCCTGGTTTTTCCTATTATAGTCCTATGTTGTAATTTTATAATCAGCACCCCATCTGGATTTTGGTCCACATAGCTCCTCCTTGTCTTGAGTCTAAGTTTCCGTTGCCTTGAAGTTCTTACTTCTGTCTAGCTCAGGGGATATCCTTGGACTTTAAGGTACTTGTCAGGATGCCTTCCTCTGAAAAACATCTTACCCAACAGGTAGGAATAAGGAAATTACCATTTAAAATACCTAGCAGGCCCTGCAGAGCAAGGGCTATTTCATTGCCACCTGTTGACTGAAGAATCTGCAACAGTCAGAACAACCAGATAATTATGTTGTGCCCACAACACTCAAGATGCATAAGAAAAGGTTATTTCACTCTTCTTTTATAGACATTTTCATTAAGTGTATACATTCTTTTTTCTTTCTTTGAAAGAGAGTCTCCTATGGGACTTTGAGACAAAAGTCTCCAGTGTTGCACAGGCTGGCCTCAAAATTGCAATCATCCTGCCTCAGCCTCCTGAGTGGCTGGGATTACAGGCATTGCCACCATAACTGCCTAACTAAATGTATACTCTTATGTTCTACTGGTTATGCTGCCCCTATTCTTTCTCAAAGGTGATTCCTACCAAATAATGTTACTGCTTTGTAGTAAATCAACACTCGTTACCATATATTCTCCTATTCTCTACCTTCTTCTTTAGAACACCCATTTAGAACTACCTGAATCTGGAGGATTGCTGTGAGTTCGAGACCAGCCTGGGCTACATAGTGAGTTCCAGGTCAGTCTAATCTACATAGTGAGACCCTGTCTCAATGCCCGCCTCAAAAAAGAAAAAGAAAGAACTACCTGTTTCTCCTGAACTGTAATTCCTAAGACTGAAAATGACAGTTTTATACTGGGCGGGTCCAACATGCAGCCCAGATGCCAAATACTGCCAGAGATAGCTAGTATTGTGGCCTCACAAGATGGTAAAGTTTCATCATTATTTTATGAATTTTAGAGACATTTTTCAAGTCTCGACTGCATGGTGCTAGAACATGGCCTGCATAGGTGGCAAGAGAATGCTGTGTAGGGGACAGCTTAATGCAGTGCTAACTCTGCCTCCTGCATCTACCATACAGTCAGTCTAATCAGAACTGGTGTGTACCAGACCTTACATGTACTTGTATAACTTGCTGAGTAAATGCAATGATTACTGATAATAGTATAACCACCTACTGACACGTGTGGTACATGTAAAATTTCTCTTCACCCAATGCAGCCCAAGTAAGCAGAAAAGTGTTTTACAGTTTCTAAGTTTGAATTGATCAACATTATACACTATCGGTTCTAGGTTCTGAAGTGACGCATCTCTACTTTCAATGCGGCTGTGTGATTTAGGGATAAAGTGTCCCTCAAAGGTCTTGTGTTCAGGACCAGTGATTTAGCTCAGTGGTTCAGCCGCCTGCCTCACAAGCACAGGGACCTTAAGTTTGATCCCCAGTACTCCCCCCCACAAAAAGTCTTGTTTTCTGAGGTGGCCTCTGCAGCATAACCTGGGAGACTGTATTCTTGTCTGTGGCTCCTCCTTGCTCTTTCTACTTCACAGCTGCCATGGGATGAGCAGTTTTTCCTCTGCTGTATCCTTCCACTATGTGTTTCTGCCTTACTGCCGGGTAAGTTTGATCTGAATCCACTAGAAACTACGAGTCAAATAAACCTGTTTTCCTTTTAAGTTATGGATGTTGGGTATTTTTGTCCCAGTGACAGGAGAGGGAATAGTAAAGAAAACTGGTACTAGGAGTGGGTTCATTGCTGTGACTGTGAGGCAGGAGATAGACAAAGTAGCAGACATCCTGGCCTTAGGCTCACAGCAGACAAGATGTTTTCTGGCTCTTGGAGACCGCAGGAGCATCCTGCTCTCACCATATTTCCTTAACATCTTAACATAAGCCTGAGAAATATGATGCTATAGTCTCACTATATTGCATTAAGATCCTGACATGAGCCTAAAAACTATGCTCCTGCCCTTATCACACTTCTTTGACCTCTAGCATGAACTTGAGGAGCAGGTGCACTAACGGTTTTAGAGTAAGGGAGGGTAAACCCAAGGTCATTGTATCATTAGCATTGCAGCCTTGATTCCCTCCCTGAGGGCTTTGGCAGCCACACTGCTTCTGTCTAGGCTTGTATAAATCCATAGATTTCCCCTCCTCATGTGAAGGTGAAGATTCACAGTTGATTGGAAAGAAGCCCAGTATACCATTCTTCTTAAATTTTAAGAAAACAAAAGAGAAGCAAACCTGGATCTCATGGAAGTCGTCATCTCGGAGTCTGCCTGCCCTCCATTTTTTTCTTCTTTATTTGGTACATTTTAGGGTATACAGTACAGTTACATTCATCGTTGGGATCTTGTACCTTTACCTGATGTATCTTGGTGCTTATTTTTTCCCCATTCCCCTGCCCTCCCTTCAACCCCTCTACCCCTCCCTATTTACAAATACTTTGTTTCCATTTTTTCCTTTTATCATATTTTTCCTCCCCCCCACTTGCCCTACCTCTTTAGACCTTTTCTTCCTATTTCACATTATCAATTATCCATTTTGATCCTTATTTTCACTTTTAGTTTCTCACACTAGAGAAATTATTCAGTATTTACGCATGTGTGTCCTATTTATTTCTCTTGAGTATCACCTCAATGTGCATCCATTTAGCTATAAATGTCTCTAGTTTCTCATGCTGTATGGCTGAGTAGTACTCCGTTTTATAGAAAAACCACATCTTCTTTATCCAGTCTCCAGTTGATGGGCAGTTGGGCTGTTTCCAAGCTTTAGCTATTACAAACAGTGCCACTATAAAATGGGTACGCATATATCACTCTGGTATGATTCTTTTAATTCTTTTGGGAAGATTGCCCGCAGAGGAGTAGTTGGGTCAAATGGGACCTCCAATCCTAGTTTTTTGAGGTATCTCCATATTGATTTCCCCAGTGGTTACACCAATTGCACTCCCAGCAACAATGCGGAAGGGTTCCTTTCTTACTACAACCCCACCAGCATTTGTTATTGGTTGATTTTTGTGTGTGTGTGTGTGTGTGTGCCAAGGATTGAACTCGGATCCTTGTGCTTGTGAAGCAGGCACCAGAACCACTGAGCTAAATCCGTGGCCCTTGGTTGATTTCTTGATAGCAGCCATTCTTTCTGGGGTGAGGTGGAATCAGCATTGTTTTCATCTGCATCTCTCAAATGACCAGTGATGTTGAACATTTTTTCATATGTTTATTTGCTGCTTTTACTTCTTCATCTGAGAAATGTGTGTTCATTTCAGATGTCCATTTTTTAATTGTGTCTTTATATTTGTGGATGTCTGATTTTTTTTCTGTGTGTGTGGTACTGGGGATTGAACCCAGGACCTTGTGCTTTGGGAAGTGTCACCACTGAAATAAATCCCTGGCCTGGGGTCTGATTTTTTAAAGTTTTTTTTTTTTTTTTGAGACAGGGTCTCACTATGTAGTTGAGACTAATTTGGAACTCCCTATTTAGCCCAGGCTGGTCTTGAACTCACAGTGATCCTCCTGCCTCAGCCTCCTGAGTGCTGGGATTACAGGTGTGCACCACCACGCCCAGCTAAAGTTCTTTATATATTCTAGATAGTAAACCTTTGTCTGAGGAAAAAGCTGGTAAAAATTTTTCCCACATTGTGGGTTGCCTTTTTACACTGTTGGTGGATTCTATTTCAGTACAGAAGCTTTTTAATAAGAGGAGATCCCAGTTGTTGGCTCTTTTTGCTAGTTCCCATGCTACTGATGTTTTTGTTCACAGTCTTTTCCTATGCCATTGTCTTCTAGAATTCTACCTAACTTATCTTCCAGCAAGCTTAATGTTTCTAATATTTAATATTTAGATCTTTAATCCACTTTTATTTTAGTTTAGTGCATGGTGAAAGGTAGGGGTCTCATTTTAATCTTTGGTAGGTTGAAGTACAGTTTTTCCAACACCATTTATTAAAGAGGCTATCTTTCCTCCACTGAGCATGGTTGGCTTCTTTGTAGCTGAGTATTTCTGGAGTTGTTTCTGTATCTTCTAATCAATTCCACTGATTCTTGGATCTGTTTCTTTGCCAGTACCATACTGTTTTTATCACTGTGGCTTTGTAGTATAGTTTCAAGTCGGGGATTGTGATACCCCCATCATGTCTCTGTTACCTAGAATTGCTTTTGCTATTTTAGGTCTCTTATGGTTCCAAATGAATTTTTGGATTGTTTTCTCTAGTTCTGTGAAATATACTGTTAGGTTTTCAATCAGGATTTCATTGAATGCCTGCCCTCCATTCTTGAAGTTTTACTTTCAGTAATGGCAGTTACCATCTCTGGCTCTGCCTATCTTCTGTTTTGGAAAGTGTATTTTCATTACTAGCCTTTTCTATCTCTAGGTGCTTCCCATTTTGGACTTCTGCTAAATGTACCTTAATCTCAAACCTAAAAGAGATGGGGCCACTCTGAGTCAAACTCACTCTTGCATATTCTCATCAGCCTGATCCTGCTCTGTGGAGTGTACTTTCCTTTAATTACTTTCTGTCTTTCTTGATACATGATATTGTTCAAAGCTGAGAAGACAAGAATGATGATCAAAAGGCAGACAGTAAAGGTCAGGCTCAAGAATTTTTAGTTTGGAACAAGGACTTTATTCACATTTGATTTTTGGGGTTTTTTGGTTTTTGTTTTTTACTTTATTCACATTTGGACTAGAGACCATGTATATTGTGATCTGGCAGAAAATGTATCTACATTTTCCCCATGTCCTGAGACTTTGCAGGAGACTGTGAGATTAAGGGCAGCAGACTAATTACATTGGCAGAGAAAATTTCAAGGCAGCCCAATGTACGGGTGATGGCATGGTACCTCTGGCTTCTTTTAGTGAGATTTGATGTGAGAATCAGGAGTGAATGGAAGAGCTGAATATTTGTTCAGTTTCACCAGAACAGAAACACCTGAATAGTTGAGGCAAGGGAAATCATGGTTGCTAAAAAGATTAGCATCAAAAGAAGTCAAATACTTTGTACAGGGACAAGAAGAAAGATGGCTTCAGGGCATTACAGAAATCAACAAAACCTCACCCATTACAGGATTAAGGATGCAAAACTGTAAATCTTTCATTTGAAAAGCATCTCTGCACCTGCTCATTCAAGACTGTCTAGAGAAGTGTATATCTCCAAGTTCAGCCATCCAGGCATTCAGAGGTCACTGCAGCCATGGTCCAAAGTGGCTCATCTACTCCTCTAGCAGTAGCTTGACTTTGGCATCATCCATGTGGTGCTGGTATTTTAAATATGCAAAAAGTAAGATTTAAGAGGTTGAGAGGGGTTGAGGAGGCTTCCACAAAGGTTTCAGAAGGCCTGAGAGCCCAAGCAAAAATGTGTGACAGGATTATAGACCCAGCCAGGAGACCATGAGAAGGCAGTGTGTGAAGAAATGAGAGTGAAGTTGAAGGTGCAGTGGAAATTCCAGGAGGTTAGAGATGCCAACAAGGTAGAATGTCTACTGAAGAAAGCTCTAGTCGACGAGTGGAGGCAGCCCAAGAGAAAGACCATGTGAGCTGCAACCAGCAAGGCCATAGGGGTGGGTTGCTTAAGCCCTTTGGAGCCCACATCTCATCATGAACTTTCCAGGGTGCTGGCCATGCAGATTCAGCAAGTTTTTCTTCCCCTGCTGGGTGTTGGTGTTGCTTTGATCCTAATTCTGTCTATTCCCCTATTCCTCCCTTTTGGTATAAGAATGTTTACCCTGTGCTATTGAATGTTACATGGGATCACAGAAACACTTTGTCTTGTGTCTCAGAGGAGAATTTGCATGTGGACTTTTCAGGAATATTAGAACTATTAAGACTTTGCAAAGTCTTTGATGAACTAAATGCATTTTGCTTAATGATATGGACATGAGCCTTTTGGAAGCCAGGGCAGCATGTTATAGTTTATATCTAAAATGTACCCCAAAAGTCTTGTGTTTGGAGGTGGCCTGGTTGGAAGAGGTGGGTCACTAGTGCCTGACTTGTAAGGGTATACTGTTGTATCCAGCCTCTCCTTTCTCTTCCTGCCTCCTGGCTGACACAGGATGAGCAATTGTTCTCCACTATGTTCTTCTACTATGAATTTCTGCCTTGGAATCAGCCAACGGACTGCACCCACTGGAAACTTTGTGCCAAATAACCTCTTCTCTTCTAAGCTTCAGGTTTTGGGTTATTTTTGTCCCAGAAATGGGAAAGTGACTAATACAGAAGGAGTAAAGGTACTATAGGAGACCTTGAATCCCATTATCTACTTGGTGGTTTTAGGCCATGGGGGCAAATCCTCTTGTTCTCTTAATGTCTTGCCTCTTTGGCAAAGATTCCAAACCTTTCTTTGGGTTTCCCTTCTGCCAGATTCTCAGGATGGTATTCCTTCATGTAGGTGTCTAGAAGGGGCAACCCTTATTTTAGGTGAGTACATAATTTTCAGGAAGGAAAACATTCATCTTTTATCTATGGGTAGGTAATTCCTCCTCTAAAGATGCTACTGGTAGGAAACTACTATACAGAACTCCTGCTTCTTTTATACTTAAATTTTATGGTTCTATTTCTTTTTCTTTTAACTTTTCTGTCATGATGGGCTAAAATTACTTGTGGTGACTTGAAAGTCTGTAGATCCATTTTGGGCTCAAATGTATAAAACTAAACAAATTCAATGAGAAGTATA